GGGAAAAAGAAACTAGAAAACTTAGCAGAGAATGGAAGAGAGGTAGATTTGGAAAGGAGGAAGTGGGGGGGCATGTTCAAAGTAGAGAGGTAGGATACAGAGTTTAGAAGAGGGAACTGAAAAATCTGAAACAGCTAAAGAACTAAAGAACTTTTGGGATTGACAACAAGACTGCTACCTCAGCCCAAATAAGAGGACGTAGAAAAGAAGGACACAATGCGGGAGAAGTCTATCGAGGAACGTAGTAAATGAAAGAGCTAAGCTTTTTATGTGGAGGCCCTACAGACAAAAAACAGAGCCCAAGGAAACCCGAAAAGGGAAAATGACATCCACTGAGCCCAATAATTAGCTAGTGAAAAGAAAAAGGGGAAACTGCAGGGAGGAAACCAAATTAAATGGGGGAACACAGGGATACGTGGGAGAATAAAAGGGTGAGGTCAGTCTTGTGTATGGGCCCCAGGAAGTTGAAGGGGAAACAATGAAGCAGAAAACAGGGGAAAAAAAAGCAATTTAAAGCATAGAAAGCAATAGGGAAGACGACTGACCCAGTGGAAAATTTTTGGAGAATAGGGGGGTTTGTAAAAAAAAAGAAACCCCGGGCCCGGAAAATGACCCTTTAAAGGGAAAATCGACTCGGAAAAGGTCCCCGCAGGAGAAAGCCGATTAAGGGACATGCCGGAACAGGGAAAGGGGTATTCGACTGCGACAGAACACAAGAATAAAGGGAGAAACTGAGAAAAGGGACAAAGGCGAAAAGGGGGAAAGAGAGGGGATGAAGAAACGAAGGAGATCCCCAAACCCCCGGAAGAAGATCAAATCAGCCTCCCCCAACTTCCCATAGAAGCTCCCAACCCTCAACCCCCGTGCAACCAAAACTCTTAAATCAAAACCCATGCCCCATCCAATGCCCCCCCCCCATACATTAAAAACTCCACCCCACGCAAAAACCCTAGTTCCCTATCAGGGCTTCCACTTTCCCCCAACCCCAATATACCTCCCCAACCCCAGTCTTAGAAAAAAGTTTAAGGTGTGGTATACAAATGCCGAGGAAAAACAAACAAGTATGAGGATGGCACAAAGAACAAGGAGGGATCCTCAAATAATGACCACAGAAACAAAAATCTCCGAATAATAACAGATTCAATCTTTCCATCCGGATACAAATCCTCAGGAAAGCGAGGGAGGAGAAAGGGGGGGAGGAGTTGCAACCCCATAAAAACCAGTGGGGTTTTTTAGAAAATGGGGAATGGAGGCACGGGGAAAGGGGGCTACTTAGTAGGAAAAACCAGTCTGAGGGACAAAGGTGATAATTGCGTAATTACAACCCCCCAAGAACGCAGGAGGCCAAAAGGAAAAATACGATGAGAGCAACAGAAATAATCGACACACTACCGAGGTGGCCAGGAGAGCATACAGAGGGGAGCAAAGTTATAGTTATGGGTGATTTCCCAAACACAAGGAGATTGACTGGGAAAACCCGGAGCCCCATGGGGGTCCCGAAACAGGAGAGCCAAAAAAGATGGATGTGGTACGGAAAACCCCAGCATCAACATGTTAGGACATACCAGAGGGGAGAGGGAAAGGGGAACCAGCAAACTGGATTGTATTCACCTTGAGATTTTTGGACTCGGGGTATCATGTATGAAAAACCCATGGGGGGTAGTGATCATGTGGCCTGTGCTTGACTCTAGTTGAGCCCAAGTGGGGAGAGTAGCAGAAATGGCTGGGAAAAACAAAACAAAAGGGGGGGAATACTCAGGCATGAGGAACTTCCCTTTAAAACATTCAGTGGGAGAGGGAAATGACAGGAAAACCAGTCAAGAAAGATGAACTATGTGGGAACAAAAATGCAAGGAGGAGAGGGGGTTTGTTTCCCCAAAGGGAAAAAAGAAATAATGGAAAGAACAGAAGAGGGCCTGGTTCACCCAAAGGTGTAGGGGGGCAAAACAGGGGGTCTAAGAAGGAAAAGGTAAAGAAGACAGAGAAAATGGAAAAAAAAGAATTTTAGCTAAGCCCAAAAACGAAATGCCAGATAAAAAGGGAGGCCAGAGACAATATGAAAATGACATAGCTCAAAAGTAAAAATGACCCCAAGGTTGTACGCCAAAAGGAGGGAAAAAAACAGTCAAGGAGCAGGTAGTAGACTGAGGAAGGGTGATGGGGGGGTTCACAAGAAAAAGGCCCAGAGGTATGTCAGGAGCTCAACCCCCAAAATTTAAAAAGGTATTTACAGTGGAAAAACCCGTGGACTCCAGGAAATCAAAAGGGGGGCCAAACCCAAGTGCGGATGAGGTACTATAACCCAAAGGGGGAGGGGAAGAAGCTGCTATGCGAAAATTTAACCTCAAAAGGGGGTGGGAAGAAATCTCTCCAGGGTCCTTAAAGAGGGAGCAGAGATATTGTGTGTGCCATTAACAAAGATCTTCAACATATCATTTGAAACTGGGCAACTCCCTGAGGTATGGAAAATGGCAAATGTAGTCCCAATTTTTAAAAAGGGAGACAGACATGAGGCACTAAACTACAGACCTGTATCACTAACGTGTATAGTATGCAAGGTCATGGAGAAGATCATCAGGAGGAGAGTGGTGGAGCACCTGGAAAGAAACAAGTGTATAATTGACATCCAGCACGGTTTCTGGGAAGGAAAATCCTGTGTCACAAACCTAATAGAGTTTTATGACAAGGTGACAGAAGTAAGACAAGAGAGAGAGGGGTGGATCGACTGCATATTTTTGGACTGCAAGAAGGCCTTCGACACAGTTCCTCACAAGAGGTTACTGCCAAAGCTAGAGGATCAGGCACACATAACAGAAAAGGCACTGCAATGGATCAGAGAATACCTGACAGGGAGGCAACAACGAGTCATGGTACGCGACGAGGTGTCAGAGTGGGCGCCTGTGACAAGTGGGGTTCCACAGGGGTCAGTCCTAGGACCTGTGCTGTTCTTGGTATATGTGAAAGACATAACGGAAGGGATAGACTCAGAAGTGTCCTTGTTTTTTCAGATGATGCGAAGTTAATGAGAAGAATCAAATCGGATGAGGATCAGGCAAGACCACAAAGAGACCTGGACAGGCTACAAGCCTGGTCCAGCAATAGGCTCCTTGAATTTAACCTTGCCAAATGCAAAGTCATGAAGACTGGGGAAGGGCACAGAAGACCGCAGACACAATATAGTTTAGATGGCCAAAACTGCAAACCTCACTCAAGGAAAAAGATCTGGGGGTGAGTATAACACCGAGCATATCTCCTGAGGCGCACATCAATCAGATAACTGCTGCAGCATACGGACGCCTGGCAAACCTACGGATAGCGTTCCGATACCTCAGTAAGGATTCGTTTAAGACTCTGTATACCATTTACGTCAGGCCCATACTGGAGTATGCAGCACCAGTTTGGAATCCACACCTAGTCAAGCACGTCAAGAAATTAGAGAAAGTGCAAAGGTTTGCAACAAGACTAGTCCCAGAGCTACGGGGATTGTCCTACGAAGAAAGGTTGAGGGAAATCGGCCTGACGACACTGGAGGACAGGAGGGTCAGGGGAGACATGATAACGACATATAAAATACTGCGCGGAATAGACAAGGTGGACAAAGACGGGATGTTCCAGAGAAGGGACACAGACACAAGAGGTCACAATTGGAAGTTGAAGACAAAGATAAATCAAAGGGATGTTAGGAAGTATTTCTTCAGTCATAGAGTAGTCAGGCCGTGGAATAGCCTAGAAAGTGACGTAGTGGAGGCGGGAACCATACATAGTTTTAAGGCGAGGTATGATAAAGCTCATGGGGCAGGGAGAGAGAGGACCTAGTAGCAATCAGCGAAGAGGCGGGGCCAGGAGCTGTGACTCGACCCCTGCAACCACAAATAGGTGAGTACAAATAGGTGAGTACACACACACACACACACACACACGCACGCACGCACGCACACACACACACACACACACACACACACACACACACACACACACACACACATGTCCTACGAGGAGAGGTTAAGGGAAATCAACCTGACGACACTGGAGGACAGGAGAGATAGGGGGGACATGATAACGACATACAAAATACTGAGAGGAATTGACAAGGTGGACAAAGACAGGATGTTCCAGAGATTGGACACAGTAACAAGGGGACACAGTTGGAAGCTGAAGACACAGATGAATCACAGGGATGTTAGGAAGTATTTCTTCAGCCACAGAGTAGTCAGTAAGTTGAATAGTTTGGGAAGCGATGTAGTGGAGGCAGGATCCATACATAGCTTTAAGCAGAGGTATGATAAAGCTCACGGCTCAGGGAGAGTGACCTAGTAGCGATCAGTGAAGAGGCGGGGCCAGGAGCTCGGACTCGACCCCCGCAACCTCAACTAGGTGAGTACACACTGCGCTGGATAGACAAGGTGGACGAAGACGATGTTCCAGAGTTGGGACACTGAAACAAGGAGTCACAATTGGAAGTTGAAGACTCAGATGAATCAAAGGGATGTTAGGAAGTATTTCTTCAGACATAGAGTTGTCAGGCCGTGGAATAGCCTAGAAAGTGACGTAGTGGAGGCGGGAACCATACATAGTTTTAAGATGAGGTTTGATAAAGCTCATGGGGCAGGGAGAGAGAAAGAACTTAGTAGTAATCAGTGAAGAGGCGGGGCCAGGAGCTATGCCTCGACCCTTGCACCACAAATAGCTGAGTACACACACTCAACCCCTGTAACAATATGGTGAGCACAGACCTCTACAAAGCACCGCAGTTCACCTACCGAACCACTAGCCGGGCGAGTGACTCAAATTCTACACAGAGAATTCCATAGTCCTCTCTGACACCACAGTCTTCTCAGTACTGCATAGGCTACCCAAAAACCTCAACGTCCACACACTGATCTAACACCCCACTCACTGATGAAGACCATCACCCAGTTATCATAATGTTCCACTCGTTCACCCACTTATCATGATGTTCCACCCGTTCACCCACTTTTCATGATGTTCCACCCACTGACCTGTTGATTTTGGCTAGGATGGTGATTATTCTCTCCAGGAAGAGGTTGTAGAATAATAAACTAGAAGAGCATCCGATCAGGCTGAAGAAGATGGAGAAGACCTTTCCCTCCACCGTCTTGAGGGATGGTACTCCATACCCTGAAGAAGGAGAAAACTTTGGTATAATAAGCTGTAGGTATGTGCTCTCACAAGCTGCTCTGGTGAGAGTGCATCGTTCGCCATACAGTGGTGCCAGAAGTACTTCTTATTTTAATTTGTCAGAAAACAAACAAAAAGACACGAATTTCCTGATACGCGTTTTAAACATGCAGTCCTAAAGTTGTCTTGATACACTCACACACACACACACACACACACACACACATACACACACACACACACACACACCCCACACACACACACCACATACACCCCCCCCCCCACACACACACACACACACAAAGCGGGGCCAGGAGCTGAGTCTCGACCCCTGCAACCACAATTAGGTGAGTACACACACACACACACGTACTCATATACAACAGGCCTAGTGTCTAATCGACATGTGCCTAGGACAAAATGGTAACTAACACACACACACACACACACACAGATGAAAGTGTTGAATAATGATGAAAGTATTTTCTTTTTGGGATTTTCTTTCTTCATGGGTCACCCTGCCTCGGTGGGAGACGGCCGACTTGTTAAATATATATATATATATATATTATATATATATATATATATATATATATATATATAATATATATATATATATATAATATATATATATATATATATATATATTTTTTTTTTTTTTTTTTTTTTTTTTTTTTTTTTTTTTTTTTTTTTTCAACAAGTCGGTCGTCTCCCACCGAGGCAGGGTGACCCAAAAAAGAAAGAAAATCCCAAAAAGAAAATACTTTCATCATCATTCAACACTTTCACCACACTCACACATTATCACTGCTTTTGCAGAGGTGCTCAGGATACAACAATCTAGAAGCATATACGTATAAAGATACACAACATATCCCTCCAAACTGCCAATATCCCAACCCCCTCCTTTAAAGTGCAGGCATTGTACTTCCCATTTCCAGGACTCAAGTCCGACTATATGAAAATAACCGGTTTCCCTGAATCCCTTCACTAAATATTACCCTGCTCACACTCCAACAGATCGTCAGGTCCCAAGTATCATTCGTCTCCATTCACTCCTATCTAACACGCTCATGCACGCTTGCTGGAAGTCCAAGCCCCTCGCCCACAAAACCTCCTTTACCCCCTTTTTCCAACCCTTTCGAGGACGACCCCCCCCCCTCTTTCCTTCCCCTATAGTTTTAAATTTGTTTTCCCCATGTCATTCTACTTTACCCATTCCTTCTAAATGCCCCAAACCCCCTCAAAAAACCCCTCTTCTCCCTCGACTAATGCTTTTATTAACTCCACACCTTTCCTAATTTCCACGCTCCGAATTTTCTGCATAATATTTACACCACACTTTGGGGCCCTTAGACGGCTCCCATCCCCTAAACCCGTCCCCCTCGCTGTTTGCTTTACCACCCAAGCTTCACACCTTTTAAAGAGTGTTGGTACACTTACTTTCATACATCCCTTTTTTGCCTCCATAGATAACGTTTTTTGACTCCCATATCCCTCAATGCACCCCCACCTTTTTTCCCCTCACAATTCATTTTAACCTCATCCTTCAAAAATCCATCCGCCGACACGCAACCCCCAAGTATCTAAAAACATTCACTTCTTCCATACCCCCTCCCCAATTTGTTTTCCAATTTTTTTTATCTAAATCATTTGTTATCCTCATCACCTTACTCTTTCTATGTTCACTTTCAACTTTCTACCTTTACACACATTCTCAAACTCATCCACTAACCTTTGCAATTTTTCTTTAGAATCTCCCATAAGCACAGTATCATCAGCAAAAAGTAACTGTGTCAATTCCCATTTTGAATTTGATTCCCCCAAAATTTAATCCCACCCCTCTCCCCAAAACACCCTAGCATTTACTTCTTTTACAACCCCATCTATAAATATATATGACAACCTTTGGTGACATTACACATCCCTGTCTAAGACTACTTTTACGGGAAGTATTCTCCCTCTCTTCTACACACCCTAACCTGAGCCTCACTACCCTCATAAAAGCTCTTTACAGCATTTAGTAACTTACCACCTATTCCATAAACTTGCAACATCTGCCACTTTTGCTCCTCTATCCACTCTATCATATGCCTTTTTCTAAATCCATAAATGCAAAAAAAACTTCCCTACCTTTATCTAAATACTGTTCACATATATGCTTTCAATGTAAACATTTGATCTACACATCCCCTACCCACTCTGAAGCCCCCTTGCTCATCCGCAATTATATATATATATATATAATAATTTATATATATATATATATATAATATATATAATATAATATATAATATATAAAAATATATATATATCATAATATAAAATATATATATATATATTATATATATATTATAATATATATATATATATTATATAATATAATATATATGCAATAAGATCACAGTAAACAGGTGATTTCAAAATATGCAAAACAACCACTCTGAAAGAATAGAGAAATTCCAAGCGCTTTCGTGACTACTCACATTATCAAGGAACTATGAAAGTGAAGCATCCAAGGAAGCTATAAAAAGGGACTCCGGCCACACCTCACTATCAGATCCCCAACGGTTAAACACGTGACGGGGCGGCGAGCCAACTTGGATAGGTCCTTTGCGAAACTCACCCCCAAGCTATTTATTTGTCCAGTGTATTATTAAATTCTTCCCAAATTCTATTAATTAAAATGGATCTAATTTTTATAAATTTATATATATATATATATATATATATATATATATATATATATATATATATATATATATATATATATATATATATATTTTATATATATATATATATAATTATATATATAAATGCAAACAACTACGGTGGTAGTAGAATGATGGCTCTAGGCCTTTAGTGTTGCAATCAACACATCATCAGGAGCTTACAAAATTGCAGAAAACAGGAGGATGTCCAAGCAAGTACGTTCCCAAAGGACGACTTCACAAGGAACGAGTTAGTGAGTGAGGGAGATATAGAGAGAGAAGGATACCGGAAGCGCCCCCAGGCACACCAGTGCCCTTAATACTAAGTTCTTTCTCAGGATACTCATTGGCAATATCCTTCACTATCTGTTAAACCTCTTTTTTGTTCATAAGTAGTTATTTTGGTGTGAAGGTTTGAGACCAATCCCTCCAGTATCTTCCAGGTGTAGATTATGATGAATTATTCTTGCCTGTATTTTGAGGAGTGCAGTTACAGGAACTTAGAGCTGTGAAGGTTCTCTGCACATTCTTCAGCTCAGCAATTTCGCCTGCCTTGAAAGGGCCATTAGTATACAGCAATACCTAAGGACTCAAATTCTTGAAGGTGGACATAACCGGTATTAGGAGTCTCTTAGTTTGTTAAATGGATCTCTTCTGAGTCTGGCCGACCAACAAATCAAGACTGGTACATCCCTACAGTGTACTGAAACTGTTCTGAAGGATGTACCTAGGGAGTTGTTACCTTTATTATTTAAAGGTAAACAAGCTCTATGTTATGATTATATTGATTGTTTAATAAAACCCGATGAAACAAAGTACAGAGTAAATAATTTTTAATTCATTAAGAAGCAGTGAGATTATCACGCATTGAAAATATTCCACTTGGGGAAATGTATGATTTTAGGTGATTGCCTGATGAGGGTTTATTAGCTGATGTATTTATGGAGTGGCATGAAACACTCAAAGATATACACATATACATACTAGATATCAGTAATTACATAAGTTTGCCGTCATATATTTGGAATTTTTTTGTGAAAAACTAAACTAAAACTAGACACAATTCATTCCCATGAATTATATGCCCTTAGAAACAGTAATCCCAGAGGTGGATTCACATGTGCAGTTAACCAGTATACCAAAGCAGATAATCCCTTAATTAATTACTGCTCGTGGAGGCTTGTACGTCCAACTGGGAGCAGAATGAAATTAGCTCAGAGGCACCAACACCAACGTATGTCCTTCGATCAAGGTAAAACACCTAGCTCTGCTGGGTGCTTGATTCTTGTAGGATTGCGTAGGCCTGTGGGTTAGAGCATCATGTGATTTTTGCTCACCACGAGGAGGGCCAAAACGACATGGGTTCGAATCCTCGGGTAGTCGCAGTGTTTTTTTGATTAAATACCACTCATTTGTGGTCACAGTATTATATAAAATGTATTTAGTTGGATTAGGCTAAATTAAATTGCCCTGTTTATAATAAGGTTAGGTAAGTTTCCTAAGGTTCTTTTGGTACAAAATCATTAATTTTTATATTAACATAAATAAAAAATATACATCTTTAAATGTGCAAGAGAAAATTTTAGAAAGAACTTAATTTTAAATGAGTTCTTGTTAACTGACCAGTTTTAACTATTCGGTACGACATTATATATATGTCCCTGACCCCTCTCTTTCTCTCCATTTACTCTTCCCTCCTTGCATCACTTCTACTGTGTAAAACCCTCTCATATGCTGACCATTTCTCCCTTACTACTCTCTTTACATCATTCCACCAATCGCTCTTCTTCCCTCCCGCACCCACTTTCCTGTAACCACAAACTTCTGCTGAACACTCTAACTCTACATTCTTAAACTTGTGATGAATGGTTTTGAAAAACCGACAAGTTGAAGATTGAGACACTTATGCAGCATATTGGAATCTTTATTCAGGAAACGTTTCGCCACACAGTGGCTTCATCAGTCCAATACAAAGAGGAAGGCGTAAGGAGAGGAGGAGTATGAGGTAATCAGTCCCTCAACCTGGAGTCGACTCCAGGTTGAGGGACTGATTACCTCATACTCCTCCTCTCCTTACGCCTTCCTCTTTGTATTGGACTGATGAAGCCACTGTGTGGCGAAACGTTTCCTGAATAAAGATTCCCATATGCTGCATAAGTGTCTCAACATTCTTAAACTTACACCATACATCTTCGACCCCATTGCCTATACTATTACTAGCCCATTTATCCTCCAAGAGTTGTTTATATCTTACCCTATATGCTTCCTTCTTTAGTTCATAAACCTTCA